GATGGTGACATCGTCTTCAATCAGAAAGAATCCAGCCCAGAACATTGGTTCCTTGTATATCTCTCTCATGTCCTTCATTGCCTGCTGCAGACTCCTACTCGCACTCTCTCCATTCTTTAGATGGGAATAGAATTTCAGCATGAAGACATTTGCTGCTGTGTCATCAATAGCCCACAATGACGCTACAACGGCACAAGCTCCTGCAGCAAGAAAGGCTCGAGTCATTCCAACAACTCCTTCAGACCTTACGTCTCCTCGACCACTGTAGCAACAGCTGAGGACAACCAGTTGAGCATGAATTCCACTCTCTTGTACTTCTTTCATGGTCAAAATGCAGTCCTTCTCCTCTGCTGGACTCGAGTACGTCGTAGGTTTAGAAGGAGCAAGAGCAATCTGTCCATTTTCCTTACTACCATGTGCAGCAAAATGGATAATTGACACACCTTGTTGAAGTCTTCTTAGGACTGCTTCTTTCGTTGCTTGGCTACCTATCAATGGCTGAACACCAAGAAGATTACTAATCTGTATGGCTTCATCTTCGGCACCGGGTAACGGGGAGAATATCACTGTACGACCATTACGACTGACATGTCCAGTTGTGGGATTTCCAATGATCAGAGCACCTGACTAAAAATAAATAATGCTTAACGTCAAGGTCAAAAGCAAAATAACTGATTACCAAACATGTCATCCAACTTTATTTGTCCATGTTTTTAACGTTTGGAGTTCTTCCCAGTAAGGGAATCTAAAAACATCCCCTATTTGATTTTTTGGCGAACATAGATAATTTGCTTTCTGATTCAAGAAAGTTTAATAGAGTTTTGTGTGGTCCAGACATTCTTCTTTGTGGGATTCTGGCTTGGGCTTCATGAGGAGGTACTTATTTTGAAGAACGAGGCTGAGAAACAAAAACACTCAATTCAACTTCTCAAAACATTTTTGATGTTCAAGTTTGACGTTAATGTTTCCCGCTTTTATGACAAGTACTACCTCGTTCAGTGCTTGTGCAAGTGGAATAACGAGAAAACTTCGCTAAAAAACATCAAGAGAGGTATATTTTGTATCACGTATTTTCTCTAGAAACCTTTTTAATGAGATGCATAGCTTGTTTGWACTTACCCTGCAATACGTGTCATGCGAGGATTCTTGTAGAATTTTCAGCGTCGTCAGAGAAGGAGCCAGTCGAATGCGTTTGATTTCCGATAAAAACTTGCCGGTTTTTGGATCTTGAAGAGCAGCGAATGGCACCATGAAAAGATAACCGTCAGGTATGATAATCACCTCATCGTGGGTCAGCTGGTCCAGTACTGGGGAAACTAGTCTATAGAAAAGCATATCAAGAGGCTCCATTTTATCGTCTTCTTCGTCGGGAATGCATCTGTCAACCTTTTGAAAAGCTTTGAGAGCATTTTCACTAAACTGCGAGGAGTTTGTCGAGGATGCACACTCCAGGTCTTCATGCGCTAGTGAGTTCATTGATCTGTCCTCGCATTTCATTCCTTTTCCTTCTCTAACATTCAGCTGCTGGAAACAGTTGTCAACGAGATATTGAAAATATCCCGCTTTGGTATGTTTTCTCTCATCATCAGAGAGGCTCGACAAAATTGTTGCCAAAGCATCGAGGTTGTCCATTTCATCGTAAAAGAAGGTAGATGGATTTCGGGATGATATGACCCAGCTATGATAAGTAACTTTGTTCAAATGAAGATTGTAAAAAAGAATGCAGCCTTCACGATGAGAGGAAATTGTCTTGACATCTGCAAGTTCTAGTGCTTTTGTTTCTGCTTTCTCAGTTGTGTTGTATTTAAGGGACAATAGATCTCTCAAAGCACGTGCTCGMCCATGTTCACATGCTAAGAGAGCTTCTTCACTTTGTCTTGTTTTGATGTAGACCTCACTGAGCAACTTGTAGGTTTCAATGAACGTATCGACAATTGAAACCTTGAGTTGGTCATTGTCTTTTAAATCATCAAACAAGTTCTCGTAGCATTGTATGCTCTTCTCTAGGTGTTGTTTTGATTTGCTGAGGTCTTTAAGGCTCGATTCTAACTGATAAACATTACCTTAAATAGGAAGACGATTAGCTGAGAATTAGGTGATACAAAAATACAAAAATGAAATTGTGATTGATTATAGAATATATTATTTGATTTTAGTCATCATAGTACATCTGATTTTAGTATACTGTATTTACTCGAATAGACGCCGCGGCGTTTATTTCATTTTTCGCGATCTAGCTGCGGCGTTTATTCGAGGACGGCGTCTATTCGGGGGCGGCATTTATAAAAAAACACTTTATTCAGTACTACATACCGTACTTTATATTGTATCTTTTTACCAACAAACAGTACAGTCTTTTGCACAAATTATGAGACATTTTTATATATATAAATATACCTAGCCAAATATCAAAAACACCCAAGAAATTATGGGATACTGTCGCTGATATTTTGTCATGATTGCCTAGCATCAGGTTGTTACAGACAAAATATCAGCGACGGTATCCCATAATTTCTTGGGTGTTTTTGATATTTGGTTAGGTATATTTATATATATAAAAATGTCTCATAATTTGTGCAAAAGGCTGTAACGAATCTCAATATATAAATGTCGTGTTCATTTTGTCTATTCAATTTATG